TTATTGCATTGAATGTGAAAATACAATTGACAGGTAGTTATGAATTTATTCATTTCTTTTTAAATCAATGCTTTTGGTGACGCTTCTCTTCTTAGTCAAATGGCACGTAAATATAAATGTTATAATGAATCCTTTCTAAGTAAATGATATTGGAGAAAGTAATGAGATCAGGAAATTTATGTAGGCACTCCGATAGAACTGATACTTATTACAACAATAATTCATTGACTGATAGAAATGCACATTGGAATATTTTTTACCTTTTTTAATAACTTTTGAATAGTATCTTTATTATTCTATTAAGCTACTACTGTCTTTAATCATTAATATTTCTTTTTTTATAGTTTGGCTCTCAACAATTTACCATTAAATAAACGTTCCTTTAGTATTTGTAAATCATCGACTCAAAGTCATAATGGCCTTGTATTGGTTTCCGATCAGCATAAAATAATAAAGCCTATTGAATTAATAAACGGGAATTTGGTAATAGAATGTCCTGTGCATTCAAGCTTATTAACAGATAGCCCTTATGAAAGTTCAAAAGAATTTACACATATGAGATATACTGCCTGCACAAGCAAGCCAGATTATTTCAAGCAAGAAAATTTTACTCTTCGTCAAGTTGGATATGAACCTATGAGGCAGACCGAATTATTTTTCTTAATAACTGTAAATGATGTAAGAAAATCAAGATTATTAATAATGTATTTGATATATTGACAAATTTTTATAATTGTTTATGTCTTAATAAATTTTAATAGGAAGACGAAATTCTATTATCTAGTACTCTTCACAGAATTATAGAAAATATTGCTTGCCTTTGTTCTCTTACAGAGTCTCCAACATGGGTACGTACTTATTATAATTTAGAATTCTTTTCTATTACTAATAACCTCTTGAATTTAACTAGGGAGAAGATGGATGGAAAAAGATTATCATATGCATAATTTCAGATCGTAATAAGATTAATAAACGTACTTTATCATATTTAAAGGCACTTGGTGTTTATCAGGATGGTATTGCAAGATCAAAAGTGAATAATAAAACAGT